CTTCCCTCTCCAATGGTACTTCTGCCCCTTTAGGCACGTTTGATTTATTATAACCTTGGGATCCGAAATAAAACACTTTAAAAAAGAACTTTCAAATTTTTAAAAAAAACAAGTTCAAACGTGCTAAAGTTAGCAATGTTTTGCGATGAATACCATGAATTACGTATATTTGTCAACATTATTATTTATGCAAAAAACTAATGTTTCAATAATATTGCATAATAAATGATACACCTGAAATTCACACAACTTTAAATACATGTTTATCGTCTTTAGAACATATTATTCTTATTAGTTTATTTAGGAGGGTCAGCTTGTTTGTTTGTTCTAATTCATACCAATCAGCTGATTAGCTTATTTCGCTCAACTCGCGTTGTTTTTGTTTTCCTAGGTACTATTACCCTCTGAGGAGACGTAATAGACACGTAACTTTATGATCAAATGCAAAACATCAATTAGGTTGTGGTGTTCCTACTTTTTTTGTGCAAATAATGTCCTGCAAACATGTGGAAAATTTCCTCTCTGTGCGGACAAATTTATCTGCGGTGGACGCAATCTTACGCTTCGTTGTGTTCCCCATATCTGAAAAAGCGATAAAATATAAAGTGCGTGTGCTACGTCGCCTGTGTGACTGACTTAATTCCCAAAATACTTGTTCGTATAGCACAGATGTTGGGGTTTGTACCTATATCTGACTTTGTGACTGTTTTTATGGCTACGAAGGTGGTGCAGAGTTGCATCATGGATAAACTCAAGAATTTCCTTTTATTCTTTTTTACAGTCTGCCCTATCCTGCTACTATTGCCATGACTTTCCGGTCAGTTCTCAGAGAAATAGGCCAATTTCGTTGTTGGCCTGTGCTCATTGTATCCACTTTTCCTGCTTTACAAACCATCATATTGAAGACCATGTAAAATCCAACCCTGACCATAGTGTTTGTGAGTTTGTTTCACGAGGTTGTTACTGTCCTTCCTATTATTTCAACTACTAACATCCATGCGGTCTCAAACCTTCAGCCATTTGCCTTGATCAAGGTGAGCTTTACTGCTCCATTTGTCACGACTTTGTCTACTGCGAACGCATTGAGGCGGCCTACAGAAATGCTTTGTCTTTGTATACGAATAAGTTTGGTAAGTGACTAGTTCGGCACCGCTTCGTTCTTCCAAAATTTATCGAAGTATTTACCCGCATAATTTTCCGTCTCTCAGGCGGATCAGAACGTCCATGGCGTCCATCGTATAAGGAGCTGGAGTATGTTCCTTATTTGAAGTCTGTTTGTCTCCCAGCATCAGCACCACATTCGCGGCGTGAGTCCAGCGACATTTTGTTATTTTCATTTTCTGCCGTTTTAATCATTTTCATTAATGTTTATCTTTTAGAAACTCGGGGTCTCGTAAATATGGGCAACACTTGCTTTCTAAACGTTGTTGTGCAAGCTCTTACGCACACTCCAGTTTTGCGTGATTTTTTACTCTCAGACCTTCATCGATGTGACAATCCGACCCGGTCTCGTAACTGTTTGGCCTGTGAAATGATAAGAATCACCCAAGAAGTTCGTTACCTCTGGCATCAGGTTTATTTCCGTCTGAAAACCTGGGACTTATGAGGTGTCCTTATTTTTTAGATTTACCGACCCGTTCTCAGTCCCTATGTACCGAGCAATCTCCTGCACTCAATTTGGTTGCATGCAAGACATCTCGCAGGCTATGAACAACGTGATGCTCATGAGTTTCTCATTACTCTCCTTACTCTCATTCATTCGCATTTGGTCGGTGAACAGGAGCCAAGAGAGGGTTTGTTTTCCATTACATAACCCCGATGATTTGTTCGTCAACCAAATCATATCTACTTGTTTTGTTAAGTACAAATGTCTTTTAACAGATGATACCGATGAGACTCTGCAACATCACGATGGAAGTTCAACAACTTCTTCTACTAAACGCCGTTGGCATGACAGCGAAAAGCTTCTGATAGCGAGCCATGAGGGGAGTAGGGGTATTTCTCCCGAGTGCCTCTCCAATTCCTCTCAACACGAGAAAAAATTCAAGTCGTCTCCTTCCTCGTTTACATCAAGCACGACAGGTGAAATGGATGAGCGAAGCGCGCCAACTTCCCCGGTTTCAACACTGTCAGATCGCACGGAGATCGTTACCAATGGCACCAATAATGGCAATAGTCGTGGTGCCAATCACACCGCCACTGATACCAACTGCGACTGCATTGTTCACCAGGTCTTCTTTGGTGACCTTGAGTCGGTCATCTCGTATCGAGGCTGTGATCATCGGTCTTCCACAGTGGATCCCTTTTTGGATCTCTCCCTGGACGTCGCTCAGCGCGGCTCCACCTCCTTAGCCGCTTGTCTCTCTTCATACTTCCGTCCAGAAGCCATAGACGGCCTACTTTTATGTTCTCAGTGCAACATTAATCGCCCTGCTGTCAAGCAGTTCTCCCTCCTTCATCTTCCCACTGTGGTTTGTTTTTACTTAAAGGTTCGTTACGGTGTCTTAAAATGTAGCTTGGGTGTAACTTTCTGAAACCATTGTTTTTTTCACCTAGCGGTGCCATCAGGATACGAAAATTAACACATCCATCAGCTTTCCCGTAGAACTAGATCTGACACCATTTGTGGCTCAGCTTGCTAATCGCAAATCCGCCTGGCATGATAGGTGAGCTGGAGGAAGAACCGTCACGCTAGACCGTTTCTTGCTGCCTTTCCATGACCAACTATCTTGGTGCCTGCAGGTACTCATTGTACGCGGTTCTGAATCACAGTGGACAGACAAATTCAGGCCACTATACGGCATTCATACGTTCTGGTCCTGGATGTTGGTGTCTCTGTGATGATCAAAAGATTGTTCCAGTAACTTTGGACCGTGTTTTGACCACCGATGCCTATGTCCTTCTCTACCACAAAAACTTCCTAACATCCAATTCTCCTTCACCGACTCCATCCGCCAATAACGTCGCTGCCCCTTCTGGCTCCTGAGATGCATAATAAGCGAGCGTTCGCCCGTGCAATATACTGTACTTTCTGCTCTCCTTCACATTATTCCCGATTTCATGTGTACAAAGTGAGAGACCTTATGCATTTACTCTCCATAACTGATAGATCAGCTCTGAATTGACTGCGGTTGCCCGTAATCGTCGATAATTTGATCGCTTCTCATCCCCTCTTTCCTTGTATGGCTATCTTCCTGTATGTTTAGTTTCCCTCACCTCTCTATATTTGTGGTTTCGTCCACAAATCTCATTCCCTTTTTCAGCCCTCCTTGCCCGGTTGTAAGTCTGATTTTTTTCTCTGTGTTTCTTTACTGTCCTCATTAATGCTCACTCGCACCTGCGAATGAAGTAGCTCTTCGACCAACTTTCTGAATGCTTCTAACTTCGATGGTAGGGCAGAATGGGACCGAGATATATGCATTTCATTATGGGGGATATTACTTAGCGTTTTTAACCAGCTCTGCGTATGCACTGGGGTGTAGCAGAGTGCAGAAGACGGCTGAGAAACTGGTGGTAAAGATCAACGCAGTTTGAACACCGTCTTGTCACTCATTTCATGCCCGTCCCTAATAATGGCTATGAAATGACGTTATCACTGTCATCTATCTTATACACTGTTCATGTCAAAGCAGTGGAGGATTTGTAAGCCGTAAACTTGATCCACTAACTAGCCGAGAGTGCGGGCATACCTGCGCGTCGGTAGACGCCAAGCGCAAATGTGCACCACGACGACGAGGCGCTCATATGACGGTCCTGTCAACACATCAGTGATAGCGCCTACCACAGTGCATACAAGCAATCTCAGTCAGCAACCTTTTTAGTTGTACCTTTGATTAAACGCCTGATCTAAGCGACGTGTGCGGCAGACTGATGTGTCTTTGACAGTTGTGAAATCAACACAATTCTCCACTGTAGTGCACAAGTTAAACGAGTCAGTTAATGTTAGCACCAAGAGAGGATTTCGCCTTTGTCCAACCCAACAGAATTTAAGTCTGCGCTGATTTGAAGGATTGGCATGATATACCATTGTCGTGATTCCATCCTTACTCACTTGAGAATCAGAGTACATCCTTGTAATAGTGGAATTGGCTCCAAGTCATTGTCAGTCAGCGATGCTTGATATACGTTCCGGAGAATGTGGCCATAAGGGACTAAAAGGAGTACCCGTATATCCCCAACTTCCATCCGCTTTCCAAGAGTAGGGCTAACTAGTGTATATTTGATTGCATCTGCTATCATCTTTACCATCTGAAGGACCAAGGGTCATTGACTTCTCCTTTTGTCATTGCCAAATACAATGCATTGTGCACACCATCCTTTCCGATGTCTACATTGATGCGCATTTGTAAACAGATTAACTTCGTTCGCATTCGAGCAGTCACTTCAGCTCAGGACACACAATACAAACATGATTGGTGATCTGTCTTTTTTTACCAATGGCAAAAAGCCTCCAAATGTAAAAACAGAGAGCTCAAGGTCATTTTCTCGCAATGTGATTGGTTAAAAGGCTGTATTGCTTACTAAATACTTCCCATTACTTTTAATTATTGATTTTATCAGATAAGGCAGCTGTTTAATCGATAGGAAATTTCAAAAATACGGTTTGTTTTCTTTGCTAAACTTAGACCCAAACTTGCACACCATGGTAAGTGGGTACAATTCACATTACTATTTTCGATTGCATCAAACGCTGTTCCATCCTTTTTTATTAGCGGGAAGTCATAAGTATCCATATTGGCCAAGGCGGTGTGCAGATGGGTAACGCCTGCTGGGAGCTATATTGTCTAGAGCACGGTATCCAGCCTGATGGTCAGATGCCCAGCGACAAGGGTCTTGGCCAGAGTGATGACTCATTCAGCACTTTTTTCAACGAAACTGGAGCTGGAAAGCACGTCCCACGTGCTGTGATGGTTGATTTGGAGCCAACTGTCGTCGGTGTGTTAGAGTTTTCCCCTTTACTCAGAAAGTCTTGCCTCTTTGAATAGATTAAACAATTTTAGATGAAATTCGAACTGGAACATATCGCCAACTATTCCATCCCAATGAATTAGTGACGGGGAAAGAGGATGCAGCTAATAATTATGCGCGTGGACACTACACGGTGGGCAAAGAAATGGTGGATTTGATATTGGATAGAATACGAAAGTTGACGGACTGTTGTAGCGGTCTACAAGGCTTTTTGATTTTTCACTCCTTTGGTGGTGGAACGGGCTCGGGTTTAACTTCACTCCTAATGGAACGCATTAGCGTTGACTACGGAAAGAAATCTAAGCTTGAATTCGCCATATATCCAGCTCCTCAGGTGTCAACTGCAGTTGTTGAACCCTACAATTGCATTCTTTGTACTCATGCCACACTGGAGCACTCTGATTGTGCTTTCATGGTCGACAATGAGGCGATATATGATGTGTGCAGGTAGTATTAACGTTTCCTTCATTATAATTTAACTTTATTTTTTTACAATAGACGTAATTTAGACATCGATCGACCTACGTATACAAATCTCAACCGATTAATAGCCCAAATGGTCAGCTCAATTACAGCGTCTTTGCGTTTTGATGGAGCACTGAATGTCGACTTGACGGAGTTTCAAACAAACCTTGTTCCCTACCCTCGTATCCACTTCCCTCTAGCTTCCTATGCCCCTACTGTGTCGGCGGAAAAGGCCTATCATGAACAATTAACTGTGATTGAAATCACTAATGCCTGCTTCGAGCCAGCTAATCAGATGGTAAAGTGCGATCCACGACATGGAAAGTATATGGCTTGTTGTATGCTATATCGAGGTGACGTTGTTCCCAAGGATGTAAATGCTGCAATTGCATCAATAAAATCTAAGAGAACCATCCAGTTTGTTGATTGGTGTCCAACTGGTTTCAAAGTTGGTATTAACTACCAACCGCCGACAGTGGTTCCCGGCGGTGACCTGGCAAAAGTTCAACGAGCTGTCTGCATGATGAGCAATACAACAGCAATTGCAGAACCATGGGCTCGTCTTGACCATAAATTTGACCTCATGTATGCAAAACGAGCCTTTGTTCACTGGTACGTAGGTGAGGGTATGGAAGAAGGTGAGTTTTCCGAGTCTCGAGAAGATATGGCAGCTCTGGAGAAGGACTACGAAGAAGTTGGAACCGACACCTTAGAAGCTGAGGGTGATGATGAAGAGGAATACTAAAATCTTTACGCCAGTCACTGCATCCCCTTTGCCTCAATAACACTTGTTTCCCCTCCTCCGTCCCCATTTTTACAATGTTTTATATTCTCTAGTCACTTCAATAAACCTGTTTAATAGAACCTTAATGAGTCCATAGCATCCTAGCTTGATTTATGGAGGGAGACCATCAGGGAACACAAATGATTACTAGACATGAATGCGATCTTGAGAGAAGAGAGGAAACCACACCACAAGATTCAGCCCAACAACCAAGGACAGCTTAATTAGCTGTACACAACTGAATTCACTCCTATTTCCTGAGGTTCCATTTCACAAGCATCACTTCGACCAGTTCGAACTATCGCGTATAAATTATATCACCTTCAAATAAATGTAAAAAAAAATATAATTTATTAAGTTAGTTTTCACTTATCAGTAGTTACCGATCTACCAAATCACTTTTGCATATTTTTGTCCTAGTTTAAAATGCACTGAGTTTTTAGTTTTTCGTCTTCTAGTAGAGGATCTAAAGTAACTTAACAAAAAAAATCAATAGCTAATTGTTTACAATTGGATTTTGAAACTAAAATCGATATCTATTTAGTAAAAGATAATCGATTTGTCCAAATTGCCTTTAAAAGCGTCTGTAATGAGCTAATCAATTTAAGTGAACTTTTACAATTTTCTCTACTGGATGGTAAGTAGGCCTTTGGAGGGATTTTTTTCCAACAAATTATGTTATAAGAAATTCCTCTCTTCATCCGTCTTTTCTTCTACGTCTAGCGTGAAATAATCAGCATTCACATCGGTCAGGGTGGCGTACAAATGGGCAATGCTTGTTGGGAGCTCTATTGTCTTGAGCATGGTATTCAACCAGATGGTCAGATGCCATGCGAAAAGACTATTGGTGGAGGTGATGACTCATTTCAGACCTTTTTCTGTGAAACTGGAGCTGGAAAACATGTACCTCGTGCGGTCATGGTTGATCTTGAACCTACTGTAGTTGGTAATGTGACACTTGGGTTTGTCAGTTTCTAATTACTAAATTTAAGTTAAACTTTTTTCACTGCTTTTTTTTAAGATGAGGTTAGAACTGGAACATATCGTCAACTTTTTCATCCTGATCAACTGGTTACTGGGAAAGAAGATGCAGCAAATAACTATGCAAGAGGTCACTACACTGTGGGGAAGGAAATGGTTGATACCATTTTGGATAGAGTGAGGAAAATGGCAGACTGTTGCACTGGCATGCAGGGATTTCTTGTTTTTCACTCCTTTGGTGGAGGTTCAGGGTCTGGTTTTACATCCCTCTTGATGGAACGACTCTCTGTTGACTATGGAAAGAAGTCTAAGCTCGAATTTGCCATTTATCCAGCGCCGCAGATTGCTACAGCCGTTGTAGAGCCATACAACGCTATTCTCTGCACGCACACAACCCTTGAACACTCAGATTGTTGCTTTATGGTTGACAACGAAGCCATTTATGATATCTGCAGGCAAGGTTTAAGGCATATTTTATCCATATTTCTTTCTACGTTGAGAGTAATTTCAATGCTTTTTATCTTAGACGCAACTTGGATATTGAACGACCAACATATACCAATTTGAATCGTCTCATAGCTCAAATAGTCAGTTCCATAACAGCCTCCTTACGATTTGATGGAGCTTTGAATGTAGATTTGGCTGAATTTCAAACGAATTTAGTCCCTTATCCACGAATCCACTTCCCCTTGGCTACTTACGCCCCCACAGTCTCGGCTGAGAAGGCTTATCATGAGCAACTTAGCGTTCCAGAACTCACCAACGCCTGCTTCGAACCTGCAAACCAGTTAGTGAAGTGTGATCCACGTCATGGCAAATACATGGCATGTTGCATGCTCTATCGTGGGGACGTGATTCCCAAAGACGTAAACGCTTCCATAGCCTGCATCAAAACCAAGAGGACCATCCAGTTCGTCGACTGGTGCCCCACCGGTTTCAAGGTCGGCATCAATTATCAGCCCCCGACTGTCGTTCCAGGGGGAGATTTGGCAAAGGTTCAACGAGCGCTTTGCATGATATCCAATACCACAGCAATTGCAGAAGCGTGGGCTCGATTGGATCATAAATTTGACCTAATGTATGCAAAGAGAGCCTTTATTCACTGGTACGTTGGTGAGGGCATGGAAGAGGGTGAATTTTGCGAGGCCAGAGAAGATACAGCCGCTCTTGAAAAAGATTACGATGAAGTGGGACAAGAAACGATGGAGGGCGAGGGTGAGGGTGAAGAGGATGAGTACTGAGAAACAGAAGAGACAACAAAAAAAACAAAAGGCTATGCAGAAATGTACAAACGTCAAACCATATCGATTAAATCTTGTAAAGATACCGTGCAATTCGCGGTCAGTCTCCGCTAAATGTGATTCCTATGAACGAGGATAATTTGCACAGCATTTATACACTGCTCCATTTTCACGATAATGCAACATACTTCACTAAACTTTTGCCTTTTTGATTAGTTGCATTACGAATTTGAACTGGTAAATTAATTATAGGCGTGGCAATGTCATGCTTGCATGATCACGGGGAGAATTGCGGTGTCTTGGTGCATGAATTTGTGGATTAGATGTAGTTGGTGCAACTAATTATTGATAAAGTCAATGTGTCAAATGGAATCGCCCTTAAAGTTATTGTATTACAAGATTGATGTGGCTAGTTTATACTGCCTATTCTTTTTCAAAACTCATGCATTATC